CGCAAAACGCATATTGTTTAGATGTGCTATGGTAAGTTTCACCGTAAGTGCTTTCATTTGTCATTTTTTTTCCGACAGTTTTGGTCATTCAAAAAGTCTATCGCCAGAATGCAAGTGGCTTCCACTTTGAAGAACAACAATGGCAAGCGAGAATCGATATCGCTTCTTCAAATTTTGAGGAAAATGGTTCGTATTAGCTACTGTGGTAACTTTACAACTTTAGTGTTACCTTGTTTTCTCCAAGAGAAATTTCTGTATTGAAATAAAGCCTCATAAAAACGCGCTTACTTAGATTACATAGTCTATCTTCTTTCATCATTCCCCTCCCATCTAATGTCACATACCTCATACCCTGATAAACATTTCAATTTTGTGTTTTGCTGTCGTTGTTACTGTTGTTGTTGTTTGATAACTTTTTTGTTGATTCTTCGGGGGGCTTTAAGGATCATTGGTAGTTGCCTTTTTGTACAAGGATCTGCATAACCTACTTCTGACAGATCAAGCCATCAGGAGTGAAACGGACAACCAAAGGTGACGTTATTTTCATATTATTCCATGTCGTTTACCCCCAAAAACACATAACACGGAAACACATAAGATCTAAGTTCAACTAACCTGAACTTAGAAACTTTCCAAAAACCCTAACTAAGGTTGGAAGACTCCCTGCTTGTCTCTGACCGTTCCACCTTCATTAAAATTCGCTTGAATCTACCAAAAGTATGTAATGTGTGGAGGGGGACAGGGGGCGGGATCCCGGGAGAACCGGGGGCGGGAGAGGGAGGGAAGCGGGAGAACAGGGGGCGGGAAGCGGGATCTGTGTGAGGACGGGAAGCGGGAGCAGAAATAAGTAAGGCAATAGTTTGTTGTTTATAACTGGGTATTATTCAGTCAAAAACACTTTTCTAAACTTCAATTTAATATCCACCAATGCTTAAAAGAAAATTTTGGAAGCAAGAAAACGTAAATTTGTACTCGGGCTGGAAAAACAGCATTACTTCCAGTGAATTTGGAAATCCCTTCAATTTGATTACGTCATTGGTCATGAGATAGCATGACACATGAGACATGTTCACTTGTACCTCAGTGTCTGGTAAGCTGTAGCTGTCGAAAATCTCCAGCAAAGAAAGCAATTCAGGGTCATTCAGGTCAAATGTCGTCAAAGACTATATTAATCGGCCTCAGTATTTTTCGTTGTGGCCACGAAAAATCCGTTCATGGAAGACCTTCTTGGGAGCTCGCTCCGCACGACTGCACATCCCATGGGAAAGGATGTCCACCGAATCAGTGAACCTGGTGAAAGACACAGAGGACATGAGTAAATTGTATGTTGTTGATAGCCAGAAAGGAATGCTTGCTGAAGTTCGTCTTCATTACCCAGCGTCAGTGAAAGAAGCAGCAGCTGGTTACACCAATCTTATAGCAGTGGAACTGTCATTGTTGCCGAGAGAATGGGAAATGTTTACTGCCTAGACCTGTATTCCAAGATGCAAGTTAAGGTTGGGGCAATGAAAAAGGCAGAGATGGAAGCATTTGTCGCCAGATATGAAGTTCAAGTTTATTACGAACATGGTCAACACTATAGCCGAGAAGAGTTGAAATCTGCCATAACTGTTTTTCTACAGAGTAACTAGAAAAGTGTGACCAGCAAGGGAACAAAGCTGGATCTGGAACCACCGAAAACACCGGTGACAATGACTAGTTGTGCTGATGAAATTCTTTTCATTGCTGACACTGGGAACAAGAGACTAGAAGAAGTAAGAGTAGAGAGGGCTGACTTCAAGCTAGAGTGCAATGTGCGAACGGTCATGAACCTAAAGGAGAACGTCAACCCGACTGGTCTGTGCGTCATTGAGGGCCGGCTGAAGCTGTTGCTTGTTGATTCCGGGACATTTGGGGGCCTGGTCGTTCTAAACCCAGAAACGGAGGTACCTTGTGCAGCCAAATTCAGAGTGAGTTTGAATTGTCATTCAGTCATTTTCACAGACACCACATCACACACTTTGAAAAGGTTTTCTTTTCAAGCATCTGCCTTAGATAACAAGAAAGAAGTCGAGAAAGTGGACACAATCATTGGTAATGGTACGAGTGGAGCAGAGGACGGGTTCATCGATGTAGCAAGAGTATCCCACCCAACAGGGATAACTCCTGAGAACGGAACAATATTTTTCGTTGACGCAGGCAGCAAAAGTGTCAGGTTTATTACCCAGATATCGGCTGTGATGAAGTATATCAGAGTAATGGAAGACATTTATCGTGCCTTCCATATTCACTCTGATATTTTAGGTGATGCCGAGTTGCCATCTCTCTTGAAAGCCGAGCAACGCATTGAGAAAGCGGAAAAAAATCTAATGCAGATACTTCAAAATGCCAAGGCCAAGTTTAAAGTTTCCGGAACGATGCAAGGGCCTGAGGGAACCCAATCTGAGAAGGGCCTCAGTCAATTTCATAAATAACTTCCTTCATCGCCTCCGAACACGATTAAGTAAAGAATGTCCTCATCTGCTCGAAGTTGTACTACGTTCAAACGCCTTAACGATTGGAGAAATTAATTTGGACGAGGGGTTAGGCAACAGTCCGTGCATCCACCAGGCAATAGCTATAGAAGCGATGAAGAGCCTGTACCCTTGCCTGGACATGATCACAAGACGTGTGAGCCTTTTAACACTTAAAACAAATATACAGAGAACTTGACGTATTGCGAAGTCGTATAGGCTTGTCAGCCCCAATTTACACTCGATTATCAAACGGGCGCTTCGAACTCTTTGAAGAAACATTCGCAAGATGCTTTGAGGCTGCCGAGGCGAATGTGAATTAAAACAAATGAAACTGAAGAAAATCGAAAAGTTATCTTGACTCGGCGGAAGAAGAGGCTCTAACCAAAATTTGGAGTTGGAAGAGTTCAGTGTGGTCTTCCCGGCGCATGGAAGACTTCTTCTAACCTGAAAACTTTCCGCAGAGGTCTAAAGAAGATTTCAAACTATCGAACAAATCTGATAATGAGTCGAACAAGACTGTTCAATCATGCTTTACTAGCACTTAAACTGAACGCTCAAAATGCAAACAGTTGAACAATTGATGTACTAGCTACGACTAATTACTTACGTCAAAAAAGGAAAGCAAGCACGGATACAGGAGAAGCAAACTCTAAACGTTACGTCTGCCTCTTGATTTTTTAATTTGATTTTGAAATGGCAATAGCTATTACATTACACAGTTGACTGAGACTTTCGTCTCTATAACAAGATGTCAGAAGCGACGGTCAAACTGTGATAACCCGATAAGTGAAACTTAGTTTAATTAAGAAAACTGACCTGTAGTAACTTTCATCGGGAACCAATGATCCCCCACCAAAACAAAGGCCAGAAAATGAACAAGAATGTTAAGTTTTGGCACAGTTTGAAAGTTAAACCCGGGTTTCTGATCCTCTTGATTAACCTGAAGACGGGAACAATACAATGAAGAGCAGGAGTCGGGAGGCAAAGGGGCACAAAACTACGGGAGGCGGGAGAACGTGGTACGGGAAGCGGGGAGACTCTGACGCCCCTGTCTTCCCCCCCCCCCCCCCCCACTAATGTGGTTCCTTGGTTTTGATTCATTTTCAAATACAATCTCCTTCATAGGAATATCAACTCTAAGATAATGGCTGTAACTATGGACTCCAAGCAAGAGAAATTGCAAGAAAATGTCATCCTAACGTTCAAAAACCTAAAGGTAACATGAAAATTAGCTGCTATGCGTTGTTTTGATTTATTCTGACAAGATAAAATCTATTTTCAGGTCTTGACAGCAGAGAAGCGCTGTATGTTTTGGAGTAGCCGCAGCAAAAGGTAAAAAAACTACAATATATTATTGCATAGTATTTATTCCTTCTTAAATTAAATTGAGTATGTAGGACAATGAATGAACTTTCTCAGATGTTTTTGCGCAGATTAACACTTTCCTGGAAGCCAACATGTTGTCGTTTTTAGAGAGGGGACGTCTCATTGAAATATTCTCGCAGCTATGACTAAAATGAAAGAAAAACAGCGCAAAATAGTCAAACATCACCGCTTCGCCAAACAATGAATAATGTTGTGCCCTTTGATAACTTTACTTTTTTTTCATGTCTGACAGCTTTTCAGAGGAAGGATGCCATGTAGTTACTTCAAAAAGCAATTCAGAAGAAACAGTTTGTAGCTGCAATCATTTGACGCATTTTGCCGTCTTAATGGACTTTGACGGTAGCACAAAGGTAATAAGGTTATTTTTGGCTTACTCAATAATTTCACGGGCTCAATAAACTAACTCAATGTTGTCCTTTACTTTTCCTTTTTTTGACACAGCTCACCGAGGAGGACGAAACAATTCTGAAAATTATAACCAACGTGGGACTAAGCCTTTCCATCGTCGGGATACTCTTAACATCAATACTTTATTCTTGCCTCACGTAAGTAATGTACCTGAATTATAATGAGGTAGATTCTAAACTCCGCTCAACAAGGCTAATGAGAAAAGAGATCTCAGTGCAATTCTCCATGCAGACAAGAACATGCGTGTCGGATAATTCACAAATTTAAGCTACATTTCATGCCCCATCACGAACGTTTGAACAACTGATGGTTTCGCGGTTTTTGAATTTTTTAAGGTTTAGTTATTTTCTTTGTAATATTTTCCTTTTTTGACTCTTTCCTTTGCTGTCAAGATTTAGTTAATTTTTTGCCATATTTTTCTGTCTTTTAATTAAATTTTGTTGTGTTTAGCTGTTCTTGCTGTCTTCACGGTGTGTTGATGTTATTGTTGATGTTGCTTTCATGTTGTCTCATTCATTCTTTTTGTTTTTACTATTACTTCACCAGAGATGTTCGTAAACCTCTCTCTCAAATTCGACTGAGTGTTTCTATGTCCCTTGGAGCTGGACAGATCATCTTCCTCGCCGGAATAAACGCTACAGAAAACAAAGTCAGTGGCTTCTCCTTCTGTCAGAAGAATGAATTTACTCGTTGCATTGTAAATATCTTGTCGAAAGAAGCACGTTAAGAATTATACGAAAACTCGTCCTTTCCACAGGCTGCCTGTGTTACAATAGCAGCTCTGATGCAGTATTTCTTTATGGCCGCTTTCTGTTGGATGCTGATCGAGGGAATTTATCTCTACTTCTTCGTCGTGAAAGTTTACAACATTAACACCAAAATGTACATGTATCACGTCATCTCGTGGGGTAAGTTTATTATTTTAAAACATGCACTGGTAACTGTAACCATGCTTTCGATCGCCAAATCTGGTTTTGTCCTGCAGTAAAATGTTTTGATTTCCTCCCTTTCTTTATAGGTAGGTCTTCCAGTGATCATGGTGGCCATTTCACTTGGCATCGCTGCTGGAAAAGAAGGGTTACAAAGCTATACGAGTGATAAATAGTAAGAAGAAATTCAAGGGTTTGTTCTTGCTCTTCTCCTTTTAATTTGTTGCATTTCATTCTTTGTTTTGTTTTTGGATTTAGTTTGATATCGGTATCATTTTATTTTCTGACAATTTGTGTTTCTTTCTTGTGTTTCACTTCCTCGAGTTTAGTTGCTGGCTTTCCTCAACTAACAACCTGATCTGGATATTCGTCGCCTTTGTGGCTTTTATTGAAGTTGTGAGTTAATGATTAGTGTTAGTGATTGTGATCGGTATACCTGGACTAATTGCTGCTAAAGATTTTTTCCTCTGCTCTTTAAAACGAATTAAGTATTTATGATATGACCCAAGACAATATTTATCATTTTCTTTTCCCTATTTACTCACAAAAAGCTTTGGACGTAGCCGCTGTTTGCGGGGATGCTGGTCAATTTTAACCTACTGATGGTCTTCAATAGCGAGAAAAACCTGTGGAGACAATGTCCTCACAGGCATAAGAGAGCTTCATAAATTCTCCAACTTTTACTACACAGTATGAACAAAAAACTTCTGCCCCTTCCTTCAACGCAAAAATAACTCGTGAAAAAAAAAAAACAAAACAAAAAAAAAATTAAAAATGTGAAAGGAGCAGGAAGAGTAGGATATATTTATGTAATTTATATAATTTAACATAAGGCTTTACTTGGCGTGGTTCTTTCAGTTTAGACACTTTTGTGCGCGATTTCTTTTGCTCATTGGCAGAGGATCGAAGCTCCTAATCTTGGTCCCCCAGTTGGGGGATCTATTCCCTGTAAATTACTCTTCATCCCACGCTTGTTACCGAATTAATAACTTCCTTGGCAAAGATCCTCCCCTGCTTTGGCTATTCGACATCCATATCTAAATAATCACCTTTTTTTGTATACTTTAGCTCAACATTTTGATACTCCTACGTGTAATAAGGGAGATGACCAATCTGTTGCAGCCAACAGGGGCAGACCACCATTTTCAGCAAATACGGTGAGAATCACATCATAAAACTAAAACCAAATAGTGGAAGAGATTGCCATGCCCCCCTGTGGAGCTATATTTGCCTAGCCTCCTTATTCCGTAATCAGTAAGGCATCAACATAAAAATTCATTGTCAAAGGAAAGTAAAAGAATGTTTTTTTCTAACTCCTAGTCTTGGCATCAAAACATGCGTGGTGATGATTCCCCAGCTGGGTGTCACGTGGCTATTCGGTCTCCTCTCGCCTGTACATAAAGCTTTCGCTTACATCTTCACCATACTTAACTCTACTCAGGTCAGTATTCGATGGTAACTGTAAAAAGACATTAATCTCTTTCTGACCAAGTGAGACACCATTAGGATGGTCAGATTACATTTCTTTGGAATTTTTAAAACAAAAAGGTGTCAACTATGCAAGAGAAGGCAGACTTCTTTTTCAATTATAAGATGTGCAATTTTCCTTCCTTCTTGGAAATCTTAATAGATATTTGACTAATTTGTTTGCATATTGTAAAAATTAATGATCTTGAAATCATTTTTATGCTGCAGGGTTTCCTGATTTTCGCTCTACACTGTATGCGAAACACTCAGGTAAGAAAAAACATTGAACTGATTATTAACTTTATATCATCAAGTTTTAGTGTTTCAATAAATATTCGAGTGCTAAGAACCATATTTCGTGTTGCTCGTCTATCTGAAGATCAGAGAGCGATTCAAAAGAAAGATGAACATCGTTTTTCCATCTTCTATAAAGGACAACTCCACAAGGAAGAGCCCACAGGTCAATCCAAATGAGGTTGGGAATGTATGGGCAATTTAATTGCAGTCATGTGCTGAATTTGAATCGAAATTGTACTTAAGTTAAATAACTTGATTCAGCCAATCGGAAATAACAACCAAATACTTGGAACAATCACTTAGTTAACGGCAATAAGTCGCTTACGATCGGTCTGAGTTACGATCTGCAGGTAAAAAGAGGTCTGTGTCTGCATTATTGTTTAAGCATTCAACTTGATGTCTTTGTAACCTATCATTTTTATGATAATAAGTTTATTTTCTAGACGATCGTATATTTGCAGGCAAGAATCATCGAAATAAACCAATCTATAAATTTAAATTCCTAATGGCTCCGTATGCTGATGACTGCTTTGTTTCACTTACTTAGTTTATAAACTTCTTAACAAACACTGTTATTACTTTTAACTACAAGCTATGGATAGTCACTGAAATTATCAGTTTCTAGAAATTTCTAGAATACGTAGTCATGTTGACATGCACACGAAGGAACTTTCTGCAAATTTTTATTAGGTTGCGTAGCTATGGTGTAACACCACCAAAATGGTTTTTGTAAGCTTCTGGAATTATCTTGAACACTTTGTACAAAAGGACTCAATCGTGCAGCAGTAGTAGTTGTTGTTGTCGGGAGTGACTGATTTTTCAGAGAGTTATAACGAAAGAGAACTACTGTGGAAGATTGTTAATTTCGAGGAACTTGGGAGACAACTGTGAGATTGTGTCAGTGGTGAGCTAAGATGTAATTTGTAGTGGGCTTAAATAAGTTTATTTAGCATAAAAGTGTACTTCCTTTAAGAGTCGCTCCTTAGTAAGAATATTAAAGTTGTTTAATAGTGTTCTTTCTGTTGGTTAAATTGTACCGTAACAAAAAATGCCCATAGTAGTAGCAGCTAAAGTTGACGTTCAAAGCCATATCATGGTTCAACCAGGAAAATGACACCGACATTACACTTTCAAATAAACAAATAACTTTTAACGACATCCCCCGTTTAACTCACCAAACCGATTTCCCAAGACACAGACTACACCTTTTCATTATTATTCTAATTATTCTAATCAAATCTATTTAATCTAATTAATCTAATTAATCTAATTATTCATTTACCCTTGAAAATGTTTCGACAAGAAACCAAACATGCAGGAATTTAAAGAAGCTCATCCCTAATTCACAGATTTTCCCGCGAAGCCTTTTTTCCTGATTTAACCAGCCAATTTAAACAGACACACTAAATCAAAGCCCAAAATCTTATCTTTTCTTTCTACCAACACTGTCTCTAAATTTACTTTGTAGTGTTCGTAGAAGGTAATTAAGGTGCCGTTTCGTAAAGTACTTAAGTAATTATAGGTAGGCAAGTGAGCTTAATTAGCGAATTGCGAGTTTTGTATTGTAATGTATTGTAAGTCATGTTCTGTTTAGTAACGTTATGTAAGTAACATGACGCTGTAAGTGACTGTTACTAAGTGACTGTTAGTATAAATAAGAAATAAGTAAAAGTGACTTATCCAATAAGTACAGTAATGTAATAAGTAGAGTGATGTCGAGTAATGTAAGTAGAGTAATGTAATGTAAGTTTAGTTTTGTACAAATGTTTCTTCAATAAATGTTTATTACATTAAAAAAAATTAAAAATTTAGGTGACATTCAAAGTTGTTGCTTAATGAACAAATAGATGAATACGTAAATGGTTGAATAAATAAACAGCTAATTTAAAAGGACAGAAAAACCCGCATGATTGGATCGTTTTTGATCAGTTATATTTGCCAGTTTTATTCTTTTTTCTTTTTTTTCGCATCCCTAAGATAAGAAGTAGCATTTTGAATCGAAAATACATCGAATAGTCTGGAATTCAATTGGGGCGACGCTAGCCGTAAATAGCATTAACCAAGAGATTATATTCTCCTGCGCAAACTTCATTAAACAGCGATTAAAGAACTTTTACACAGAGTAGACAATTTAACGGGAAAAAGCTCAGCGATAGAAATGCGGAAAATTTCCGAGGGCCTGGCTTTCAAATATCACTACAACGGAGAGGCTAGCATTGAAGAGGAATTTCAACCAGCGAAAGAAGGAGTTGAACATGTAGATGTGTCTAACTCGGTTTACAACAACCTAAACTACGTTGCACCTCTTTATAAATCAGCATGGATGAAGAAGCGTACGATTTAGGCGGAAGAAGTGATATCTCAAAACGTTTCAAGCTTCGATTGGCTAACTTTATTGCAGCTAAGGCTACTTCATATTTTGACCCCACCGCTCCTTCTAAAATGTTGGAATTCAAACATCTGGACACAAAAGTAATGGTCTGCATGACGCTTTTGCATGGGAGAGTTGTTTTGTAGGCTGAACGCTAAACTATGGCCGTTGGCCTCCGTTGGTTTTTTGATCAATTAACGATCAACTTTACGTAAACTCACATCGAGTTCACGGTCTAAGAAAATCGAGAAGGAATCCTTTGACTCGGAGTTTGCCGTGCTGTAAAAATATTAATACATGTTATTAACACATGAGTGAATTAATCCACCAAAGTTGAAGGCCAGCGAAATAATTACCACCACCCACCAACTGAAACGGCAGCATAAACAATAATCATTTCCGTTTATGCATACGAACAGATGGCGTGCTAGCTTTAGCTGCCGTTTGATAAAACAGAAGTTGATTTAAGAAAACTTTCATTTAGCGGAGCTGATAAAGAAATAATCATTCTTAACATCAATTATTTTTGAGCTGCTTCTTTATATAATTGGAATTATAAAGATTATTTTAATTCCGTGAAGTTTTCCGATTATATTAAGAAAAACAATGCTTCACATCTGGCGCAAGCTGCCTTTTATCTATTGTTGCCTCTTTGACGGGAAAAAAATGGAGACAAACGTCGGGAACAAGCTATCAGAGATCATAATTTGCATTAAACTCTGTCTCGTGCAAAAGGGTTTTATAAGATGCCGTATATCCGCAACTCTCAAGCTGGGAGAATCAAATATTAGTGTAACGATACCTTTTAACAGCAACCTTTGCATATCTTGGCCATGATGAAGTGGATGATGAATGGAACTGAATCCGGAAAAATTTTCAAAACTCTATTAACATGTTGTGTGCTGGGTAAGTACGACGCTAGTTATTCCTGTTTGTTGTGCGGTAGCCACCAAATTGCGTGATGAGTACAACTGAATCCCACAAAGAGAGCAAAACCTTTTTTAAAAGTTGTGCGCTAGTATAGTAGCCACCTAATTATATCTTGATTTTCCTTTTGCAAAACTTTATATCGATTTTTGAACGTCCTGTGAAGTTTGGCCGAAAGAAAATGTCAGTTGGCGGACATTGGCACTGTTCATTAAGACAAAACAAACCAGATTCTAAAGGTGTCCGCTTTAAACTCTTAGTTCGTAATCGGAGAAGGATCTCTTACAAATTGGATTCCTGAAGCCTTTTAGATTTCATATAGTGCAAAGCAATTTAAGATCAAAGCACAGGCGAGACATTCATGCTGTGGTCATGTTGTTTGCGTCATAGTTGTCTGCACAACAGCTTTAGCAGCCATATTTAGGATAACAGGAACACGATAACTTAGTTGCTATCGTTTTATACCACTATGACAAGATGTGAAAAGGAAAAAACGTGTCGACTTCAGATAGCTGCTGAACGTTGGACGTGCTTAGACAAGAGATCGAACTTAATCATCAGGGTCCACTTAAACTGGCGTTAGATTCAAAGTTTAACATTCGATCCGGTATTTGGAAAAAAATGTTTCAATTGGTGTACTTTTTCCTTTCTTATCGCAAATTAAAACACCGTTAATATCCATGAATTTCGATAGCTGCTTTTCTGAATGAGCTGAGGGGTTAAAGTGACGTGCACTCAGAGTCAAATAATTCAAACAACCCTTGAAATTGATTATTTTTACGAATTAAAATTCAGCAATTGAACTCCTTACAGCCACATGGAGATTCTTTCTTAATTTAAGTATAATTCAAATAATAAATAAATTATTAGTCATGTTTAATGGATCACCCCGAAATAATACGATGGCGTTCCTCATTCCAGGGTCATGTTCAATGAATTCCAGCCTAAAGCTTTTCTGAGAGCTTTCGGATGAGGCACTATTCAGATGCCCAAACTGTTAGAGCTTTCAAATTGTTGTTCAGTCATTAACACTCGGAGTAGATGATTGTCGAATGCTCGCCAAGTTGGACGTCATGGACAATTAAAACATACTTCTCTTTTAAATTATTCTTCTTTGTACCCGAAAGCAAACTTTATACTTATCTCATTGCTCTTCTTTTATAAAAAAAATCTATGGTGGAGGTTCCGCGGTCTGCTGATCCATAGTTTAGTAACACCCGATCACAAGAATATGGAAAAATCCTCACTAAATTTTGGAGACCAACCCCTCAAGATTGAAATTGAGCAGAATTTTTATTTGAGCGGTCAGAATCGATACCTGATTAATTCGCTTAATAAAGCATCGTCCGTTTCGAATTGTTGCGAGCTAAAACGAAACATCTTTTTTTTTAATTTCGCATTTTACATCCTTTTCATTGTTATATAGTTTGGTTGCACTCTGAATAGCCCGTGTAAAAAAGTTTTTCGAAGGACATTCGCGAAATGTTTTGCACATGTGGAAAGTTTTGTTTAGCTGGTCGGTAAATTGTGGAGATGCTACATTTTTTAAAATTTATCCGTCTGCTCCCTTGGGAAGGTAATAAAGGTCATGGGTAGATGCTAAAGGGCATGTAGCAAATAAAATGCATCAGTACTTGTCTAACTCGAGATCTAATAAACTTTTTCATCGTTTCAAATGTTATTCTTGAGATAATAATCACTTTATTAGCTCATTTTCTCTTCTACAGTCATCCTTCATTTGTTGATGGAAATGCCAGGAACAGGTGAGGCAGTGTAATTCCGTTTTTAACATTCATGCACCATAAAATGAACAAGAGAAAAAGAAGATAATATCTGATTGATTATCATAATAATTATTCATAGACTTAAAGACTTCATGTTGGGATTACATCGGGTTGTGGTTCAAAACGTAGGTTGAAACGTTTTGTTTCGTGTTGTTCCCGTTGCCGTTGTGATTTTCGTAAACTGCTTGGCTCGTCGTTCTCGTCAGGATGGATCCTGAAACAACAAATCCACTTTCTTCTGTATGTCCCTTTGTTTGTTTGATTGATCGATATCGGTATCTGAACAATTGCCACCTACCCCTCCCCAAACCCAACAACAGTCAACTGATAACAAGTTAGGGTTAATGTTGGGTTAGGGGAGAATAGGAACGCAATTTCTTAGATACTGACATTGTCCTTGTTTGAACATGATACAGATGTACTAAAGAAATACGCAATAATTGGGATTTAAAATTTTGAGAGTAAAGTTTGCGTGGTCCTTTAAGCGGGCTATTTAACGGTTTTTTTTCCCAGTGACTTTTATTCTTCTACAGAGTTGTCACGTTTGAGTGAATGTTTACCGTAGATTCATGAAATGACACCTTTATGTTGTTGCCAAAAGTTGAATTTGAAGAGATTCAGATTAGCCGTGGTTACACACACCTTGGGTTTGGGGCCTTAAGGAGGGTAAATGGCTTGGGTTTGGTTAAACTCAGGTTTCTTGTTACACTTAGGGATGCGGTTACACAGTAAAAGACTCCCCTCAGGGTCAAATATAATAAGATATGAGTTCACTGACCTGACAAATTGGCAGGAAAAGTACAGAGCAACATGAATGTTACGAATCGGGATCTATAAAGCTAAATTTCAGTGATTTTCCTGCCTATTATACGACAGTCCTCCATAAATATAACAGTCCAGCAGTTTTTTGCGAGAAGACACCGAAGAGGGCGCGAAATTAGCCAAGCGCATCGGAGGTCACCTCAAAACACTGCAGGCGATTTCCTGTATTAGCTACATTCTGCTTTATGATTGGTCAAGCCACCTCCGGGAGCAGATAAACCGAACTTTTCAGTTCAGGAACTGTCATGGGAAGTTCTTTTGGAAATAACCCTAAGGCAGTTTCGGTCTGGGGAAAGCGGTTACACACAAAAACGTCCTTGCCCGTGGGCAAACGCTATTTACCCATGGGTAAAA